AAGTGCGGCGCCCAGAACTGGACACAGTACTCCGGCTGCAGCTTGTCTATTTCCACTGTTCTTGTCTACTTCATTCCTGTGAAACAGGAATAATACTCTTTTCTGATGTGACTGATGTGTAGGAATCTTTCAACACATGGTCTTAATTGTCTCCAACATTGGCAACATGTAGGGGGTGCACATAGATGCACATTCACCCCCTGAGATTGGCGGTGCACCCCTTGAGACTAGCTGCTGCTGACGGTGCCAGTGGTGCCTGTAGGCAGTCACCACTCTCCACACCGCTCTGCCTCACTGCTGACACTGCCAGTAACATTGGTGGGTGGTTGCTGACCGCTGGTCAGCACTCACCACCACCCCCACTGCTGCCACTGCCACGGCAGCCTGTGGGAGCTCCCTGCTCAGCCTGCCCTCACCGCCAACGTCAGCGCGGCTACCTGTGGGTCATCCCTGCTTACCGCTGCCACGCTCCCACCGCCACCTGTGGGCGGTTGCCATGCCCCCCCAGCCTTGGGAGACACAAGGCCTTCATGGTCCCCAAGAATGAAAAAGACTGAAAATAGGAAAGTACACATCCCTAAAAACCAAAGCACACCTAGTGGGTCCAGTATTTGTTCTTTCTTTTATCACTTTAAAATATGCTTATAAAAAAGCCTTCAGAATAGTTACCTTATAGAATCTAGTTACTTTATAGAACCCCATATATTTTGACATTAGGATTGTCCACATAGGGGTTTTTCAATTAAAGAGAAGCAAAGAAAAAATCCATAATACATATCTCTTTAAGGATGCAGGCAAAGGTTTAAAACATCAAATCTTGAACTGATAGCTCTATAGTATGTTAGTAAGTCAGTATACAATCAGGATATATTTAAATTAGTATAGCAGCTAGATATTGTATTGTATATTTGTTTTATGTATATTCAACCATGTGAAAATATGCATCTTTAATAGAAAACTACAGCTACATACAATGTTTAAAATAAAATCATAGTATCAACTGTATTAAAAATACAGCAGAAATACAAAGAAAAACAATATAGAACTATGAACGTTGCCATAAAACTATATATATTTTAAAAAGTTGTACCTATAAAACTGGAAGAATATTAAAAAGGATGATTCATTTTTTAACTTTTATGTTGTGTTTATCCTTTATATTACATTTCACTCAGGTAGGACAGTGAAACAAGCCTGATTAGTTTTAGCCCATTTCCTTTTTTGACTTCCAAACACTACAAATAATGTTTTACTGTTTAGGTAGTATCGTGTATTAAACTAAAGACATGCTGTTTGCATTATATATTACAGAAGAACAGGTCTCTACAACAGGGAAAACCCAGAAGGGACTGACTGATCCTCTTCCACCCTTTCAAAGGCGACGGCCCACCCGTTTTCTTAAAATTGGAGCTCCTTTCTACCAGGACAATCAGCTTCAGGTCAAAGTCTACTGGAAGAAGACAGGTTTGTTGAAAGTTCTCTGTTTAAATAGGGGCCAACCATATACTTACCCAGTATAAATATATTTATAATGAAGCACATCCAGCAGTTCTTATAAAAGACCAAATCCCACTCTTTCCTTCTGCAAATCTTAGAGGGAAACTAGCTGGGATGATGATACATATGTGTAGAAAATTTAAATTTCCAGTATGGTAAAGATCACTGACCTGTGGAGGTATGTAAAGCTGACTTGAGGGTAGGGGTAGAAGTGTCAAACTCATCTGACCCTGGGCTGGATGAAAGTTATTGGACCAGTCTGTGGGCCAAATCAGGGCCAAACCCGCTGCGGTGAGAGCATGGGTCCAGCCTTTGCACCACATGCTGTATGTGCTGGCCTTGGGGTTTGCTCTTTGCTTGGTGCATGGGCTAGACCCCACACTCCATTAACCCAAAAGGGGCACATTGGCATCAGGGCCTGTCTGTGTTGGGCCTCAGGATGTCCGTGTGTGGTGGAGACTGTGTATTGGGCTGGTCCCGTGAAGTGCCACATACAGCCCATGTCCTGTGTGCTGCACAGAGTGCTGAATTTAGCTCATGTGCTGCATGCAGAATGAGTCCCAAGGCTGGCTCATGCTGCATGTGGAGTGGAGAACTCAACTACCTGCATACACTGCACACAGCACAGGGGGCAAGCATGGGGTGTCTACTGCATGTGATACCCTACCGATCCAACCCTGCATGCTGGCTCCACCATGGCTCAATCCAGATTGGCCTGGAGCCAACGCACAAAGCTGATTCAGTGCAGGCTCCACATGCAGCACATGCCGTGGACCAACCTGCTATGTTCCATGTAGTTTGTGCAACTCCAGGTCCATCAACACACAGGGTTGAGGCTGGCATGTTGTACATGGGGTCAGGCCAGAGATCTGCAGTCTGGATCATTACAGCTCCATGGTCAGGATCCAGCCTGCAGTACATATATTTGACACCCCTGGCTTTGGATATGACCTAGAAAGGAGAAACATAGTAAGAAGAAAAAAATGATGCTTTGGTTCCAAAAGACAAGAGTCTGCAGGAAGTGACAACTAAGGAACTAAAATAGCAGGTGCAAATTACCTGCATTTTCCACTCTCAGGGAGACAATTCACAATCCTGAGAAACTTCCTCAGTAAGGTTTTGTGAAGGGGATCAGATTCTGTCTTGCAAAAGTCCCATGAAAATCAATTTTATTTTGCCAGAGCTAGGTCAAACGAATCCAGCTGCATGCACCATTTTGGCAAAATTCCTATAAAAACCAATGGGACCGCTTTGTGGAGACTGTTTGTGGGAATGGATTTAATATCACTGTGATAAGAAATTAGAATTGATGCAAATGGAGGCAAGGATCAGATTGTTGTGGCTGCCCTGCCTGTGACCAGTCCTTAGCCTTTCAACACGTGAGTTTGAGGCTTTTTTCTGGCTGTCACAGATTCAATAGAGGCCCAGCACAATCTTTGCCATTGTGAGCCCTGGAATAAATCTAGGTGAAGTGTATGAGAAGAGTAGCTAGTGCTGGAAAAATGTTGACCCTACATGGATTTCTCAAATATTTTATGTTCCCCTCTTGTTGCAGAAAGTATAGCACTGATAACATTTTTTTTAACATGTTTTAATCTTCCAGTCTAAAAACAAATGTCATGAAGTGTAAGTATCTAATTAGTCTTGTAAGTAAAAAAAAAAAAAAAAGATAGTTTTCACTGCCTTCTAGAACAAAGTAGGTTTTTGGACATTGTTTCAGTTTAGTAGGTATTATAATCAATGTCCTCACAGGCTATTATTTGAAATTATGCTAACACTGTTAGTGATTTTTTCCCTCTTAGAAATCTATAAATGTGTCTAAGGACATTTACTTTTCATTCCATCCAGAAAGATCACACACCAACTGCTGAAACTTGTTTAGCCTGACAAAGGGGTTTTGAACCCAAAAACTTGCTTAAAAATTGTTTTCCAACTATTTAAGTTGGTCTAATAAAAGATATCGGATTCACCCAAAGAACCTTGTCTTTCTTAAGTTAATGTGTACATAACATACAGTAAAATATCACGTTTGAAGCCATACTCTGCAAAAGGAATATTTTTTTTCCTTTAGACTCTTGCAACTGATTTTAGGAACAAAAATATTCTTCTGGCCACCCTTGGATATCCATTTTTGTAGCTTCCCATATATGTAGTTTCTTCAGATCTTGATTCTTATCCAGGCCTAGCTTATCCCCTTTATGCACTTGTTTAATATTCATCTTGATACATTAGCTCCCTTCTTTTTGGACACTTAATATCCCCCACACATCCATTCACATTCATTCAAAGTGCTACTATTAAGGTGAAAGCTGGTAATTTTTTTTTGTGGGATGGAGGGGTGGATAATACAATTTACCAAAAAATTAGGTTTCATTCTTGTAGAAACTATTTGTGAATTTTGGTTGAATTTGCTGGTAACTAACTGGAAAAAGGACTTGGGGAACATAAAGAGAGAGATGGGGCTCAGAAGTTAGAATACCTCCCTCCCCATGCCGGCTCCCCAAGATGGAGGAAATCCAGCATTCTCTGTCTTTAGGGGTTTGAAGTGACTTATCCCACCTTCACAGAGAATGCCATAATCACTTGGCTGGAGAGTTATTCGCAATTTGTATAAATTCTTATTTAAGTATTTCACGAAGAGTGGACCACCCAAAAAATGAGGCATTGAGAAAGACGCATTGAAGAATAGCCTCTACCCTTACAACCCTAAGCTAGCCCCTCAGCTCTCTGTGGTACTTGAAGAAGACCTTATGGTAAACTAGTAGAAGAAAAGAAAGGCTTCACTTTCCTTCCACATCCCCCAAACTTCAGTTCTGTGCGCAGGGCAGGCGTAGGCTGCAGGCTTGGGCTCCCGCCCTGCTGCCCTCCTCCGAGACCTCCACAGCCCGGAGAGTGTGACCTGGTGTGGCAGGGAACAACAGGGCCATGCAGAGAGGCTGCTCACTGCTGCTTGCTCCACTCTGCCCTGTGATGTGTGTTCTGCATGCGCGGCTGCTTTGAGGGGCACCCCCACACTGCTGCCATCACTGCAGCCATACACACAGGAGGTGCATCACCAGGGCAGTGCAGAGCTCGTAGTGGTGACCAGCTTCTCTATGTGGCCCCACTGTTCCCTGCCACACCGGGTTGCACCCGCTGAGCTGCAGAGGCCCCAGGAGAGGGCAGCATGGCAGGAGCCTGCACCAACAACCTGTGCCTACCTTGTGCACAGATTGGGGGAGTGTGGGTCCCACCTGCCTCCCTAGGGAGTGCATGCCATGGTGGGGAGCCAGCCCTACCCCCTTGGCCCCTGGCCAAGTCACCCAGGGCCCCATCCCAATCCCTGATGGGACCCTGCAGCCATGCCTTGTAGCCCCAAGCCCCATGTACTGCCCAGCTGGGCAGCAGCCCCAGCCCCAGCCTGGCCCAGTTCCCTCCCTCCTTATGGGGGCCTCAATCCCTCCCCCCCCATACTTACCTGCAGGGGCTGCTCTCCAGGCTGCCTGGGGCCATGCATATGTACACGCCCTGTCTCACTGCCCTCCTGCCACTCTCTCCCAGCTCCCTGCACGCTGAAACTCTGCTAGCCTGCAGGGAGCTCATTGCAAAATCCATGGGTTTCTCTGGTAAAATAAGAAATCCAGGTTTGCCTCCAGTAAAAGTTCAAATCCACTGTGTACACCGTTTTTCTGTGGGAAACGGAAAACCCAGATCCTTGGTCATGACTTGTGCTACATGAATGTGCCACAGGTTCAAAAGCAAGAATTACTTCTCCAGGCTTGTTTTTTACATGTCCCAGTTCATATGTTACATTAATTTCAGTGAACCTTGGGCATGTAAAGAATGTAGTAGAATCTGGCCTTATGTATTCAAATAAATACTTTTTAAAAAATATTCCGGCTCAATGCCTTTTTTTTATGATAGCAATAATGCATACACTTAAGGATGTGTGGTAACAGGAATAGTGCCACACCTCAAATATTATAAGGCACTTAGCAAACACACTTAATTTTACCAGGCATAATTATCACAAAAGTGTATAGTAATTAGATGGGTATAATGGTTTCTTGTTCAGGAGGAGAAAATGTGTCTTTCATTTGCTCCCTTTGACATAGGCCTAGGATTAGAGAAACATAGTACATTCCTTAAGCTTCATGAATTCAACTTTTGTCAAGGAAAAGAAGAAGTTGCTTGTGGCCAGATTTTCTGGCCATCTTGACTGTGTGAAATTAGAAATTATGTGCTATTTATGTAATGTAGTGGAACCAAATCAAACAAATCACTTTTAACTCCTTGGCGCAGGGAACAAGATAGCGTTGGAATAAAGTCTGTTGCCAAGAACGGATGCACTATGAACCTTCAACCTAAAAGGATTAACTGCTTGTGACAATTAAAGTCCTAAGGAATCTTGTGCAGTAATCAAGGCTGGAACTGTGATAATAAAAGGTTTCTCATGTTTCACCTACCCAACAGTGGTTTGGTGACAGGAGATCTGAGGTTTTGGACCTCAGTTTTAGAAGCCTTTAAGTACCTCCAAAGTCAAATACCCTTTGGGTTTTAGAAGGAGATATTTCCCACGAAAAAAAAGAGGGACTTTATTCTTTATACTCCTACTGCCATAATTTGCATCACTTACTGCACTAATTCTCATAAAAAGACCAACACACTGTAATTTAATGTGATAATTTCCTTCCAAATCAGAATGTCACAGTCTCATTTCCTAAACTTATGCTTTCTCCATATTGTTAATGTTTAGTGGCTGTTATTTAGGAATAGTACAACTGTTCCTACTCAGGAAAAGCTCCAGTTCAATCTTCGCTCTTCCCACCCAGCATTTAGCCCATATTAAACATTTTATGGACTTCTTGGATGTTTCCACTTAGTGTCAAGTTGTTTGCCCTTTGCTTTTACTTCAAAAGTTAAACATTTAAAATGCATTAAGACTTGGCTTCAGAGTTGATTCTTTGCTTTAATATTTGCCAGAAATA